TATATAAGTGGTATGCAGATCATTAAAAAAAATTTACATATACCAATCAATATATGACATTAATTAGTTTTGATTTTTTTAGAATGTCGCACACCCCAAGCTGTCACCCATACAAAAATTTTTATTTTCTTATTAATGTTTAAAATTTTTTTATATTTGTAAATTTTGAGGTTCAAAACATAAGTTTGTAAAAAAAAAAATTCCCATTTTTTTCATTCTTTAATTTTTTGAAAATAGTGAACTAAAATATTTAATAACAAAATTGCCCCAACTTTTATTATGCAGATCCTCTAATTGTTACACAATATACCATTTAAGAAATAACAAATTAATTAATATAAAATTAATCAAAAATAGACCATGTTTCATTTCAAAAACAAAAGATTTGAAACTAGATTTGATGATAGTCTATTTCTTTTAGGTGTTATGTGGTTTCCTACATCAGAAAGCAATCTTTAAGATGGAACTGAAGTTGCAAGCATTGGCAATTCATTTTGTTTATCTTTCTACCAACCAAGCAGATCAACATCACCTGCTACATTTGACATATTTAAATATTTGGTTAATTCATCTTCTTGTTGTTGTGGAACATCAAACAAATTATCAAATATAGTTTTTTGTAATGGATTTTGGTGAGTTAATGCAATTGTTGACCTTCTTGAAGTATTTGATAAATTTTCTTGGTTAGCATCTTTCAATGATTGGATGATATTAGATAGTATTTGATATGTTGCATCACATCATTCAGGTGCAAATCTTAAATCTTTAAATCTAGGATCTAAAGCTGAAGCCAGATAGCCAAGTGCTGATGTTTGCATTGACCAATAATTTATCAAGGAATTATACAGAGCTTTAATGACTTTATCTCTTTTAAGTTATATAGCCATATTTATGGGCACTGAAATTCTTAATCTCCTTTTATGTCTTTCACCATTTGATAATTCTTCAAGGATTTCTATTTCTTCTGTATTACCTACATATGATTAATTTGAATTTCATGCATACAAATTTAAAATCACACAAACTCACACAACAATGTGTGTAAAATATATTTATTTAATTACCTTCTGTTTCCATAAAAGCATTATCAATACTTTCATCAACATCATTGTCATCATTATCATCATTATTTAGTCCAACAAAAATTTCATTACTATTGGCAGGTGGTATGAATTCATCAAAAGATTCAAAATCATCATTATTATCTGAAATTTGTGATTGGAGTTTTTTAATTAAGTGTGATATGGTAGGATAGACTAAAGATAATGTTACAAAACTATTGCCACTTAATGTTGTTGTTATATCATTAAAGTCTTTTGATATAAACACTAATTCTTTAATTAATGTCCATTCTTGATGATTCAGCATGATTTTCTTCAATCTTTTAGCATCATACTCTATCACTTTCAAATTGCATTCTATTGATCAATTCTTTAATGGCATCCTTTAAATCAAGTAAATGAACCCATGCTTTATAAGTGGAATTCCATTGAGTTTTTACATCCAGTATTGGTTTGAGAATATGAGGATAATTTAATTGTCTTTGAACTTCTCCAAGCCTTTCCCATTGTTTTGGTGATTTAAAAAATAAAATCAATCTTCTAGCTCTTAATATTAAAATTTCAATATTATCATTTATTTTTAACCCTTTTTTAACTGATAGCTGAAGCATGTGTGCAGCACATGGGATTCTTTCAACTTCCATTACTTCACCTAAAAGTCTGATTGATCTTGTCATATTACTACCATTGTCTGTTGCAATTGCAATAATTTTTTCATTTAAACCCCATCTTTCAATTTCATGAACTAATAATAGCTCTTTTATTATTTCACTTGTATGTGGATGTGGTACATAAAGTAGATTTAACAAAACCTCTACTGGCTCAAAATCCTCCAACCATGAACATGTTATTCCAACATACCCTTTGTTATCAATTGAAGCCCAAAAATCTGTAACAACAGAATCTGCAGTTATCAATTATTTTATGCATTAGTTTTCCATTTACATTGTTTGTTGCAGCTGCCATCATTTGTCTTATTGTAAACAATGAAGGGATCTGAAAGTGAGGATTTAATGAACTAACAAAGTTTCTAAAGGATTTGTTGTTAATAATGCTAAATGGTTGGACACTATTAATTATATACTCAACCAGCCTTCTTTGTGAATTGATTTGCTGGTTTTCTGTAAATTGATCATTATCTACCCACTATAAAATCAAACAAATTAAAAATGTATTTTATAATGATATAAATAAATACCTTTCTACTAAGTTCTGGTCTTAACAAATTGTGATCATTTTGCAAATGATGTAGTGTATTTGATGTTGAGCCTTTGGTATGTTCAAAAAGGAATTTCATTCCACAAGGTTTGCCATCCTCTTTTTTAACAATACACTCCCACCCATTTTCAATTGTATGGCAATGATTCCAAATGAAACTTGTTTTTTGTTTACCTTTTTTTTTTTGGTCATTAGAAGATAGAGTAGAAATTGAAAATGTGAACCTGCATCTACACCTCCTAAGCATAGTGGACATTTGATTTCATTGGCTAAATTATGTGATGATCTCCCTTCCAGATATCATGCAAAAATTAAATTTTATTGGCTTGAAGATTGTTATGCAAATTTGAAAAAACCAATATTAATATCAGAGGAGGACTGGGAAAACTCTATTGAATGTGACCACCAACACTATGATTCGAAAGTACTTTAAAAAAAAAATGTGACCACCTCACTATAGATTCGATTAATGGAAAATGGAAAAGGTCACCACCTTTATATAATTTGAAGGAAAAAATGTCCTTGGTTACACTGAATTCACAAACATAGAGAAAAAAAATTTATCTTGGTCATGCCAAAAAAAAAAAAAGAAAATCCAAACTAAAAATAGTAAAAGAATTCAAGAATTTGTCAATGCTAAAAAAGTTATTGCAAATGTGGTCAAATTATTTCACTTGGAATCAATTATCAAGTTGCAAACTTTAAAAGACATTCTTGAGAGTAATAATTGTAATTTTTTAATAAATAATCAACCTAGTGTCAAAGCATTCTTTACAAAAAGTAACCACAAAGAACATATCATTGATGATAATAATATAGATCAAAATCTACATATATGCAAGGGTCTTTGTGACTTGGAGTATATTGATTATGTTATAAATAGTCCAGCTAATTTTGGAGGTGGTAAAAAACCTGAAATAATTGCAAAGCAACTTTTTCCTCAAAAATTTCCTGCAAACAAATCTTTTTCTCGAAGAAAACTTTCTAAATCTGAACTACAAGAGTTAAAAGAGCATTAGAAGCTGAAGCTACTTGGCATTTGGATAAAGAAGTTCTAGCAGTTTATCATATTCATTGTGAAAAAAAAACAATCAATGAAAGTTTTATTTGTGATGAGTGTGATAAATTAACAAAAAATAAGGCTATTCTTTTAATATTAATATTATTCACTTAAGTTATCATTCTTTAAATTTAAGAAGTTGACTGCTTAATATCAATTAATAAAGAGACATGCAGTAGAAGGCATTTAGAAACAATATCTAATAATTTACCAGGTAATAGAAATCAGTGTTTTTAACTTATGAGTAATATAATAAAATTGATTAAAATTTTTGTTTTGTTAGTAACAAACACATTGGGTTTGCAAATATTTCTGATATTCATCCACTTTGCAAGAATGGATTTTTATTTGTGTATTCCAATAAAATCTTGTGTTTGGGTAAAGTAATCACATTTTATGAG